TGCTTAAAATTTTAAAATTATTCACGAAAAACAAAAAGGCACAAAAAATAAAAAAATTAATTTTCAAAAAACTGAAACCAAACATATTGATTATTATTATTATTATTATTATTTACACATTTTTTCAAAAAAACCTAAAAAATTAACTTTTAACCTACTTTCAAAGCAACCCTTTATATTCATTTATTTTAGTTAAAAATAAATTAAATGAATTTAAAAAATTAATTAACTAAAAATTAGTAAAAGATATTTTTTTTTATTTTTAAATTTTTAATAAAAAGTACCAAATAGATCTATCATATCATGTGAAGAAAAAAAAAATATTGATTATTTGAGTACAATAATACATATATAGAAAAAAATATTTAAAATTGGAAATTTATAAATCCAGACATTATTACCTAGGGAAAATCGGTCTAAGGTCCCTATCCAACTTTTAGTAATAGATTAGGTCCACAATCTGTTCTTTTGTAGTCTAAGGTCCCTCACCCCATTCCCACTCCTAAACTCACCCATCTCACACCACTCTCACCACCACCACCACCGCCGGAATCTCGCTACTCTCTTCTACCCCTCCAGATCCCCAAACTCAACCTTCTTTCTTTCTTCCCCATTATTATAAACACTCTACTTCTAAAATTTTTCAAAATCTGCTTCATCTCTCTCTCTCTCTGTGGTGGCCATCAAGTCTCCCCTGCTTTTTCATAATCTCAAGTTCATTTTGAGGTTGTTGTTGGACAATGTGACGGCTACACTGAGGACCCAACAATTTCAGACAACTCAAATATTGTCACTTTTGCAACTATGATTCTGCGAATTCACAATGAAATATGGGAATGTGTGATATAAGATATCTACACAAAGTGAAGCATTCTATCACAGATCTGGCGCACTCTCGAGTTCGTTTCTGGGTTCTATTGCTGGGGTTAGGAGTTCCTCACTGCTCTGTTGTTCTTTAGTGGTTCCTTCTAAACAATAAATACTTGAACATCCCCAAAAACAAAACTAGGAAAATTCGAGTTTTTCCTGGATTTCTTCTTGTTTCACTAGATTATTATGTTGTTTTTTCAGATTTGTTCTGATTTCATAGATTATTTTTTGTGGGTTTGGTGAGAGATTGATCGATTGATTGATTTGATAAAATGTTTCTTAGAAAAATAATCATAGAGAAAAACAATTAAAATTTTCTCTAGTTAGTTCAAAACACAGAGAAAATTATGATTGTTTTTTTGTTTCTAGGTAGCCCAAATTTCTCTGGTTTGGTTTGATTTTGAATGACCAATAATAAAGAAGTTTAGATAACCAAGAAATATTTCCTAGTAGGTAACTAGAGAAATTCTTTGATTTTGAATGACCAATAATGGCTATGAGAAATTTGGAGAATCAGAAGCTTCTTCTGCAACCATATATCCAAAGAAAAAATATTAGAATTTTTATGTTGTTCTGTACTCAAAACGACGTCGTTTTGGCCATTTGAACCACTTTTGAGCCACAAAATTTGAGCTACGTAGCATTGTCGCAAAATCTCTCCACTGCCCGCTGCATTCGATTCAAATCTCGAAAATGGGTCCCAGCAGCCCAACGCCTGTTTGGTATTCGCCTTTTGGCAAGATGTTAAAAACAATTTTTTAAGTTATATTCGGCTTGTTTTGTTTTGATTTTTAAAAAATATTTTTTAGAATATTTTAATTATTTTTATTTTCCTGAATTTTTTATTTTCAATGATTTTTTAAATTTTTTAAGCAATCTTTAAAATTTTTTAGACACTTAACATAAATACAATTAGAAAGTATAATATTTGTGAAAAAAATCTTTAAAAAATTCACTCAGTATCAAAAATAAATTTTTAAAAAATGAAAATTTAGTACATTTTTCATATTTTTGTGCATTTATTATTTTTTAAAAATATTTTTTCACAAATATTTTACTATTTAAATACATTTAAGTAAGGTACATATTAAAAAGTAAAAAATTGCTTAAAATTTTAAAATTATTCACGAAAAACAAAAAGGCACAAAAAATAAAAAAATTAATTTTCAAAAAACTGAAACCAAACATATTGATTATTATTATTATTATTTACACATTTTTTCAAAAAAACCTAAAAAATTAACTTTTAACCTACTTTCAAAGCAACCCTTTATATTCATTTATTTTAGTTAAAAATAAATTAAATGAATTTAAAAAATTAATTAACTAAAAATTAGTAAAAGATATTTTTTTATTTTTATTTTTAAATTTTTAATAAAAAGTACCAAATAGATCTATCATATCATGTGAAGAAAAAAAATAATATTGATTATTTGAGTTTGAGGGACCTTAGACATTATAAAAATATTTGATGTCCTTTATGCTATAAAATCATAATACCAGGGACCTTAAAAAAAAAAACCCCTATTACCTATTTAAATTTGGATGACAAAAAAGTTAAGAAAATAAAAATATGATTCTATATGATATGATTATAACGTTTGAAGTAGATTGAAAAATGAAAATAATTATTGATTGTCCATCTGAGCAAGTATCACATTGCCAAACTAAGGTATTTTGATTATCTCACTTGCAAATCGTACAATTTTTTAGGAGTGTGAATCACTTAAGAGTAAAATATAATAATTTAACAATATTTATAATTTTTCTTTTAGTAAATGCACAGCTTATTTATAAAGAAATTAGATTGAATTAATTTTTAATATAATTATATAATATTTGTCTCAAAAAATAGATAATCTAATTTCAAAATCATATTTATTATTCATTTATATATAAAAATATGATAAAATTATTTTTATTTATTTTTTATAATTAATCTACACATAATAACTTTAAAAACAAATAAATCAAGTCATCAAGCAAAACACGAACCTTACCTTCTAAATTCAAACATGAATAAACTCATTGCTATCATATAATCAACCACATTTAAAAATTCATAACCAAACTTTGTCTCGTAATATAAATTGCATAAGGTATTTGTTGAGTTGATATTTGAGAGAATTATAAAAATAATGGTGTTGCTACAAAATAATTGTAATATTGCCTCTATTTGGGAAGATGTGTTAGGTTGGGTTTGGAAGTATTTTAGTCATAAAAAGATAAAATAAGTTTTTTGATCAAATAAGACAAAATATCACATCCAACCATAATCATTACATTATTTCTCTCACTAAAAATTAAAAAAACCAAAAAATTATTCTCTCAAACTAAAATAGGCAAAAAATCAAAAAGGTAACCCACTTCTCAATCGAACCCATTATAGAAGTATAATTAATTTATGTATTAAATTGTGTAACTAAATTTTATACTTTTTATCTTTTTTGCAATTAGTTTAATTTATATGATTTTATTTAAAAACACTATATACATCTTGTAATTAAAGAAAAAAGTAATATAATTTTACACTTTCAGAATTATAATTAAAAAAAAGTCATCAAGTAAAGCACGAACCTTACCTTCTAAATTCAACCATAAATTAACTCATTACTATCATAATCAACCACATTTAAAAATTCATAACCCAACTTTGTCTCGTAACATAAAATTGCGTAAGGCATTTGTTGAGTTGTTATTTGAGAGAATTATAAAAAGGGTTTCACTTTGGTTCAGTTCATCATCTGATTAGATTGTTCTGTTGGATTTATGAGGGCCACCACAGGTCCCGTTTTAAAAATCTAAACCGTTCAATGTGTAAAACTCTTCGAGTACTAGATGTTTGTAAAAAATTACGTTGATCGGATATCAATAGCTATGTGATCAAATTAGTTTTGTATAAAAAATGGACGGTGAATAAATTAACGGTTGACAAAAAACTAATTTGATCACATAGCTATCGATATCCAATCAACATGATTTTTTACAGGCATATAGTACTCAGAGAGTTCTACACATTGAACGGTTCATATTTTCAAAACGAGACCCGTGGTGAACCCCCACAGACCCAACAGCACGATTCAGTCCGATGGTGGACTGGACCAAAGCCAGACCCTTGTAAAAATAATGACATTGCCACAAAATAATTGTAATATTATAGAAGTATAAGTAATTTATGTATTAAATTCTATAACAAAATTTATTCCTTTTTATCTTTTTTGCAATTATTTTAATTTATACAATTTTATTCAAAAATACTATATATGCATTTTATAATTAAAGAATAAAATGTCATAATTTCATACATTTAGAGTTATAATTAAAAAAAAATATCATAACTAAATATAAAATAAAACATAATTAAAGAATTCATAAATCATAATCATAATTTAAAAAATAATGTGTGTATTTGGTTTAAGTTTTTTGAAAATTGAGTTTTTTATTTTTCGTATTTTTTTTTTGTTTTTAGTAAATATTTTTAAAATTTTAAGCATTTTTTTTTTACTTTTTTAGATGCATCTTACTTAGATGTACCTAAAAAGTAAAAAATTTGTAAAAAAATATTTTTAAAAATTAATAAATATATAAAAATACAAAAAATATATTAAATTCATGTATTCTTTTATATTTTTGGTTTAGTGAATTTTTTTTAAAAAATTTCACAAAATTGTATTTTTTATGTGTATTTATATTAGGTGTGTCTAAAAATTTAAAAAATATCTTAAAATATTAAAAAAATTTAATAAAAATAAAAAATACTGAAAATAAGAAAGTAGAAATTTTTTTAAAATATTTTTGAAAAATAAAAAACAAGCAACATAATTAAAAAAAAAATTAACATAATGAGTGTACATATGATACACTAAAATATATATGTTAGAATTTTCCCATTTTATTACTAAAGACTAGATGAGTCGGTGAGGTAGTTGAATTGAATCCCCCCTCAATTTTTGTTCATTTCTCACGTTAGAAATTTTTTAAAAATATTTTTGAAAAATAAAAAACAAGCAACATAATTAAAAAAAAATTAACATAATGAGTGTACATATGATACACTAAAATATATATGTTAGAATTTTCCCATTTTATTACTAAGACTAGATGAGTCGGTGAGGTAGTTGAATTGAATCCCCCCTCAATTTTTGTTCATTTCTCACGTTGGCGCTCTCTCTCTCTCTCTCTCTCTCTTTTTCTCTCTCTCATATTTAATCCCTGCATATCTTCGGCTGTTTTGATGTGAGAGCACAACACAGCAGAGCAAAAAAATACAGTTGAGTGAGAGAGAGAGATCATATTGATCGACACACGAAACCCACCATCATTGATTCACGTTTCTCTGCAGACCCACAAGCAACCTCTCTGTACTGTATGCGAGTGATTATATCAAGTTTCTTCAAAACTTATCTGAATATATATATACACATTTATGTTTGAATGCTGTGTTGTGTAAGTGATTCTGTGTTTTTTTTCTTTTTGATTTTTAGGTTTTGCAGGTGTGGAGTTTGATTTCGTGTTTTTGAGAATTTTAGAGAGAGAGAGAGAGAGAGAGAATGAGAGATTATGATGATTAAGCTGTTCTGTTCTGGTCTTCGTTTCTGTGATTTTTGAGAATTCGTGATGTCGAGGCTTCTGAGTTTTAGAACTTTCTCATTATCCACTTTGATGGGAAGAAAAAACAGTGTGCAATTATTTTTTTGGTGGATCTAGAAACCAGCTCAGAGATGATTTGATAGCATCATGTATTGAATAGTGTTTTTGATTCGTCACAAGATTGCTTTTGGATTCATCTGAGTCTCTGAAACTAACTTCTGTAGATCTATTCAAAGTTTCCATTAAGCGTGTTTGGAATATTCAGTGCAATTTTTCTCTTTTTTCTTTCTAAGCTTGGAGGTCAATTGGTAAAAGGAAAGTTCAAGAATCAAATCAAATTGATTGCTGTTAAGCGTTGTCTTTTATTGCAGAGGGACTACAGTGATTGTGCAAATCAAGAACAAAAAAGCCTTTGTCTGTTGATTTTTTTCTATAAAATTGGTTTCAAGTGTTGGTTTAGACTTGTTCTTTTTGAGGGACACTGACTATCATTGTCGATAAAAGTGAGCATATTGGCTATACATATCTGAGAATCGTATTGCTTTATTGGAGCTTTGGAGGGGACACAGAGAGCACACAATAATTCAAATAATGTTCTGTTTTTGTCGTTTCTTATAGGCTTTTGTTTGTTTTTCTGAGTTGTGGGGTTGTGAAATCATGAGATTGTTGTTGGGTTTGGAAGACTTGATCTACTGAGAGAGAGAGAGAGAGAGTGAGAGAGAGAAGGGGTTAACAATTTTTCTGGGAAAATGAATCGGGAATTGAAGAGAGGGAAGCAAGAGGACTCTGATGCCGCCGCCGAGAAGGTTGTAGTGGCAGTTAAGGCATCAAAGGAAATTCCCAAGGCTGCTCTGGTTTGGGCTTTGACTCATGTTGTTCAGCCTGGGGATTGCATTACAATGATTGTTGTCGTCTCTTCGCGTAGTTCGGGTAATTGTCAAGTTCAATTTTCTTTATGCTAGATCTTTTTCTTCTCCATTTCATTATATGCATTTAATTTTGAACTAGCCATTAGGTAGGTGTGATGCCTTAATTGGAATATTTATATATGGGTTATTTATTCTTGTTACAAGGAATGGAAAACGAAGTGGGTTTCTCTTGATCATTAAATATTTAGATCATTTTACTTGGGTAGTTTTGCAATTTGATGAATTGGCTACATTCTTGAAATTCTGCAACTCACTTTTGAGTTCTGTTATGGTTGCATAACTTCATAGCAGATTCTTTTATGAAAGATCTTTGCAATAACAAGAAAATGGAATATAGTTGTCCTATTCCTTTGTTTTGGAGTTTTCAGACCTTATTTGAATTTGTTTGATTTTATTTGTGTGATACCCAAGTTTAGACTACCACTATGGTACAACATTGTATGGAACTGTTGTTTCGATTTTGATATCAGGCTGAGCAGAATTATGAGGTTGATGATTATGGTAACCAAGATTCAAAAGGACTTTCGATATATATAATACTGACTATTGTTTTCTTATTCCTCTATTCTTCAGGTAGGAAATTATGGGGTTTCCCTAGATTTGCAGGAGACTGTGCCAGTGGCCACCGAAGGTCTCATTCAGGAACAAGTTCAGAGCAGAAATCTGATATTACAGATTCCTGCTCCCAGATGATCCTTCAGCTCCATGATGTTTATGATCCTAATAAAGTCAGTGCCTCTGTTTATGTTTCTATGTTTGTTATTATTGTACACCGTTAATGAATTCTGATATTTGATTTATTCTGACTCTGTTTCGTAGATAAATGTGAAGATAAAAATTGTTTCTGGATCACCATGTGGCGCAGTGGCTGGAGAGGCCAAGAGAGCTCAAGCCAACTGGGTTATATTGGACAAGTAATAATCTTAGTTTTGATGCGTGCAATTATTATATATTATATTTGACATGATATCCGTTCTAAATTCCATCAATTTTTACTATTTGTTTGTTAAGTTATTAGCTCTGATCACTGTCTCTGATTTGGCATTCATGTTTTTGCTTTTAAATTATGTTCCTTGAGTGATCCCTTTGGCACTCCTTGCAGACATCTCAAGCATGAAGAAAAGCGCTGTATGGAAGAGCTGCAATGCAACATCGTTGCTATGAAACGCTCCCAGCCAAAAGTTTTACGACTAAACTTGGTTGGGTCGCCCAAGAAGGAAGATGAAAAAACATGTCCATTACTATCTGAACTGGATCAATCATCTGAGAAACAATCTAGAAACAAGAATAACAGCGTCAATTCCATTCGAGGACCTGCTGTGACTCCAACTAGTAGTCCAGAGCTATTTACTGCAACTGAAGCTGGAACTTCATCAGTATCAAGCTCAGATCCTGGGACCTCACCATTTTTTATTTCTGAAATTAATGCAGACCTAAAGAAGGAGGTAACATTGGGTGCAAAAGAAACTCCTGATCTCGAGGAATCAAGTTCAGATACGGACAGTGGAAACTTATCTTCAACATCGTCAAGTTTAAGGTTCCAACCATGGATGGTGGAGGTTCTCAATACTCATCATCAATCCTCACAGCTCTCAACGGAAGGCTCACAGAGATCAAATGGTAAGGCTCAAACTTCAACAACAAAGGCTTTGCTGGAGAAGTTCTCTAAACTTGATCGAGAAGCCGGATTTGAATTTCCACATTACAGACCTGATATGGACTTAAGTGGAGATGTTAGAGAAGCTATGTCTCTATCCAGAAATGCTCCTTCTGGGCCCCCTCCTTTGTGCTCAATATGTCAACACAAGGCACCCGTCTTTGGAAAACCCCCAAGGTGGTTCACCTATGCTGAGCTGGAGCTTGCTACTGGAGGATTTTCTCAAGCTAATTTCTTGGCAGAAGGAGGGTATGGTTCTGTCCACAGAGGTGTCCTGCCTGATGGTCAGGCAGTTGCTGTCAAGCAACACAAATTGGCAAGTTCTCAGGGGGATCAGGAATTTTGCTCAGAAGTGGAAGTCCTCAGTTGTGCTCAGCACCGAAATGTTGTAATGTTAATTGGGTTCTGTATTGAGGACAGGAGAAGGTTGCTTGTTTACGAATACATATGTAACGGGTCACTGGATTCTCATCTATATGGTAATTTATCTTTCCCCAACTCTGGAATACATTTTTCCATTACAATATAAATGATCTTTATTTGCACAGGTATACAGTCAAAGCTAGGCGAACCTCCTTGCAGGATTTTTATGTAAACTTGTATGTAAAATGAAGTTTTCAGTACCATAAGAAACATGGCATGAGGGATCTGACATGTACTCATTATTGAAAGTGTTTTAGCCTCACATTATTTTTTTGCAGTGGCAACATGAAGCGTGTTCTTCCCTTTTCCTCAAGTGAAGTATAAAGATTTTTTTGTTTACTTGAGGAATGCTGAACTGACCAAAGTTGGAACTAGGACTTTGTTTTCTTTATATAGTACACTTTGTTCAATCTTAGCATTCAGTGATTAAGCCCATTTAATAATTTCACTCTAGTGTTTGGATTTTTTCTTGTAATTGTATCTAAAACTTATTTAGGATTCTGGTGATTTCAGGTCATCATCGAGGTACATTAGAATGGTCTGCACGTCAAAAAATTGCTGTGGGAGCTGCTCGAGGGCTGCGATATCTTCATGAAGAATGCAGAGTGGGTTGCATTGTCCACCGAGACATGCGGCCTAACAACATCCTCATCACCCATGACTTCGAACCTCTAGTATGAAAATTTCTCTACCTTCTATATGCATATTTGTTTATTTCAATTTGCATATCAACAAACAGCACCTATATGTTGCATACAAAACATAACCATTTACCTTCTATAATTAAAAAAATGTTCTTTTTTTAATTTACTTTCATGGTTTTATAGATTTGTTTTTTTGGTTACATTCCTCAATCTCCTTGAGAGTCTTCTTCCTACTGTGAGAAAATATTGTCAATGTCCTATTAAATGAGTTCTACATACAACAAGACCTTCCATTCCATCAAAAAAACCACATAATTCAGAACATTGTGAATGAAGAATAAAGATCTTTGTTTCCATAGACAATTTTCTAATCTCTACTTTTGGTTAAAGAATGAGAAGTCAAGATGTTAGTGTTTCAAGTCATCTGAGCTCATGTAATGTTCTACAAACACTCCAATTCCTTCAAGAACACGCTGTGGTTTTTGGGTAAATGGTTGACTCACTCTCTCTGAAGTTCTTGCTGAATCAAAGGTGTTATTCTTGACAGTCAATTGCTGTGATATTCAAGATGCAATAAAAAAAAATTATTGTTCAAATTTTTTAGCTCCTTCATACTGATCACCCTTTCTTGGTTATATTAGAGTTCCTTTCTAATATTTGATTTGCTTATTCCATGATTGAAGATGTATGTGCTATAGAGATAGGTTTTAATGTATTTGAATCATATTCCAACTCTTCATTTGCTAGGTAGGAGACTTTGGCTTGGCAAGATGGCAACCTGATGGAGACACTGGAGTGGAAACAAGGGTAATTGGAACTTTTGGGTATGTCTTGAGCTAAAGCTTTAATTTTCCCTCAGAGCATCTCCGTGCATTTCAAAGTATTATAAAATGTTTCTCTTAACGTAGGTATTTGGCTCCCGAGTATGCTCAAAGTGGCCAGATCACAGAGAAAGCTGATGTTTATTCCTTTGGGGTCGTTTTGGTGGAGCTTGTTACTGGAAGAAAAGCAGTGGACCTTAACCGGCCAAAGGGTCAGCAGTGCCTCACTGAATGGGTATACATTAGATGATTCTCTACTTCTGTCCATAAACCAAATATTGCCCATTAAAGTTGATGTATAAATGTCCATATAGTATTTTTAGAAGAATTGTAATTCATCTGTTGATCTAGTTCCTCTAGACTGTATGTTCTTCGTTCTTCGTTGTTCTTGATACTTGTGTTTGATTTGGAACAGGCACGCCCGCTACTGGAAGAATATGCCATTGATGAACTTGTTGACCCACGGCTGGTAAACAACTATAATGAACAGGAGGTTTATTGCATGTTACATGCAGCATCCTTGTGCATTCGACGAGATCCCCATTCAAGGCCTCGCATGTCACAGGTAAGAGATGTTTTTTGTATAAGTTGGAAGTTGTCTCTTAAAATTTCTCACTTGGAAGGCTCAAATGGACGCAACATGCTCGAATGTAAGCTTTTATAATCTGCCAAAATGGTGTTGAGTCAAGACTTGGGCTTGTGTTTTAGAGCTGAATGAAAAGGGTAAATGTAGAATAAACATTACTAAAATGTTATGTAAAATATTGATCCTTCTTTCCTAGGTATATTTTAACCCTTGGAAGTAGATCTTGAGGGGCAAATAAGGTAGATTCCGGGCATAAGAGTAGCCTGAATCATCTACCCTTGTAGGTGCCTTCCTCTCTCTAGGTCGGTCATTTTAATTATATTTCCGGTTAGGCTTCTCTCATTTGCTTCACATACATTGGTAACAGGTGCTCCGTATACTGGAGGGGGACATGATTATGGACTCAAATCAAATGTCAACACCTGGGTATGAGGTGGGTAATCGGAGTGGAAGGATTTGGCAGGAACAGCAACAACAACATCAATGCTATAGCGGTCCAATATTAAACGAGGCATTGGAAGGGCTCAGCAGTAAGCTCTCCCTTGAGACTCCAAGGCCACCTCTCCGGGATAGGGATAAGGCCAGGAGCACTTATTGTGAGGAATACTAGCGAAGACCTCGACCACACTGCGACTGCTTTGCTTGATATCCTGAAGTACATTTTCTTCCACTTTCTTTTTCATTTTCTTCGTAACTTCCTGTTCTCTTCATTTTTTGTCTAATGCCATCTAAATTTTGTTTTTGTATAGTATGACGGAATTAGAGAACACCTAAGGTTTTGTAGCTCATTTTGGAGATGTAGTAGTCTAATCCCAACCATCAAGGTTGGAACTCAGGTGCATACTGATATTTTTGGTACAAACAATCAATGAAATCAATTTGAGCAGCTTTTGGTGTGTTGTGTTTCCTTTTCTTCATTTCCAAACATTATGAGTTTACAGGTTGACTTTGTAATTATGATTAGTACTGTGTTTTCAACTTCAGGGGTAGAAGAAGTTAAAGTGATTATCACTCTTCTATTAGGTTTTTGAATGCATGATTTTTATTTTTATTTTTTTGTCCTCTAGTTAATCAATAACCTCTTACCTATTAAGAATACAATGGTCAAATATTTTTATGAGATCCTTTTCTGTGGACCCACAACCAATAGGGACCGTAACACTTTATTATTGCTCACCCCCTTTAATGCCATATGCAAACACATTGTCAGGGTCGACATCTTGCCGTTATTGTTCATTTTCAAAGGCTGACACACACCCTAGGGGGAAAGAAATTGGGAAACTATTCAATGTTGAATGTTCATTGAACAAGTGTGGATGGTGTTTTTAAATTGTTAGTTATCGAAAATTGCCATGAATGATGAAAGTTTGTCGCAACAGTGATTCTGAAAATGAGGTAGATAGTATAAATTTAAAATGACTAATGCTATATATATCAAATAGTGTATTAATTAGTGTATTAATTGATGATGTAGTATAATTTAAGATGTTTTTAGTTTTTATAATTTATATGATGAGTGGGTTTAATAATAATGCATATAGCACTATTCATTTAAAATTGGTGAAATGAAGTAGAAAAAAACCCAGCTTAGGGGCGGGTTGGTTTCGCTCTAGCAATTTTCAGTGCTTTTCCAACAATTTTTGTGACTTACGACGAGATACACAAATAATTTCAAAGTGTAGATTTGGGTTCAGGGGTTTGAGATCTCTCTCGTGTTCTAGCATAGAATTTTAGATTTTTAACACCTATAATGGTCCTCTTCTCTACGTCTCCTTTCTTATTGTCGTGGGTGTTTTTTTTTTTTGGTCTTTGACTTTGGTTTTCAACGGTGATTGATCTACAAGAAGGTAACGATGAATTTGAGCAGTGGTTGTAAGGACGATGATGATAGTTACGACAGGGTTGGAACTTTTTAGATTTAGATCTTATTTGTCAAAACACGTCTATGAATAGATTAGTGGTTTTCACATGCCATTGTTCATTTGTTAGCAAATTTTATAGTTTATTAGTGTAGTTTCAGTAGTTTTTTTTTTTGGTTTATTGTTATTGTTATGTTTTTATTGTTATGTATATGTATGATGTTAATTTTTATTTTAATATAATTATTTTTTAAAAAAATAAAAAAAAATTAATAAAATGTGATTCACATCCAAAATGATTTAAAATTACTTTTCATATATTATCATCCTACCAATTTTTGTAATAATAATAATAATCATGAATTTTAATTAGGCATATGAAGAGATAGTGATGGTGTCGTTTTTATGTTATGACGGATAATGTTAGGAATATTAAATTTTTTATCAAATAAATAATTAAATGTCTCACATATAATTTTGTAAATCTCATATTTATATGAGATATTTAATCATTTATTTAGTAAAAAATTTGAGACTTTTTAGGCCAAGTTTGGCTAACCTAAAAAAGTGCACTTATTTCATCTTTTTATCTTTTTTGAGTCACATCAATCAATATTTCCTCTCTACTTTTTCTACACATAATACAAAAAAAATAAAAAAATGCACTTATTTAGTCTTTCCAAACTTGTCCTTAATATTTTTCATACCAAAATCTTCGATACTTCATATCTACACCCACAATTATAATATGAATAGTTGATCTTCGAAACTTCAAAATAAACAGGGTCTGCGCAAAAAAAATTTACTTTATTTAATGTCGATGAATAAATAAATATATCATATATATTTTTTTATTTTATAAAATAAACCATTTGAAATCATAATTATCATGATGACGAAACCCACGTGTTGTGGCGGTGGATCTCTGAGGGTGTGGTAACCCAATCTTTCCCCAAATTTTCATGCATTTAATAATTAGTGTTATGTTTGGCATGAATTTTTTAGATTAAAATAATTATAAAAAAATAAAAAATTAATAAGATAAAATATCTTATTTAATCATAATTATTTTATTTTTTTTAATAAAAATAAATAAATAAAAAAATTCATTCTAAATGAGACTTTTTAATTTCAAACTTCAAATAATTAAAAAGTCAAAAAGCTAAAAATTTAATTCACGTTCTAAGCGAAGGCAAATATTTTCACCAATTTATTTTTAATCAATTTAATTTTGGAGTGGCGTTAAAAGAGACTAGATTTCAAATGTCAAGATAAATTTGCTAATCATTTCCGATGTACCCCCCAAAAAAAAAAAACCCAAAAAAAAAAAAGAAGAAAAATTTGCCCAATCACAATGGATTGGGAGTCCTGGGGGTGACCCCCAGTGGGGGTCTAGGGCATTTTCCTTGTAAGATTAACTTAACAATGGTTAAATGATTGGAATTCCCGTGAGGGTATTTATCACTCAAGATGGAATCAACAATCCGGAAGCAAAATTGTGTCTATATATGCTGGTTATTCAATGGTTCTAAAAACTTGTGTATAAAGAACACATCCTGCCATTGCTTTTATAAACACAATGGCAACCGTTGCCAAAGGTCACAACCTTTGGATACAAAAACTAACAATCACAATTGTCATGAAACAATGTGTCCATTGTGTTCAAATTCAAATACTTAACTTACCAGATTGCTCCATTTCCTTGCGGGAAGGAGTACACCAACCATTGGATTTTGATCAAGTATGCAGAGACACACCACATTATGGTATGGTCACACTTAATCTAACATCTCCCATTTGATTACATCATAATGAGGTGATAAACCTAAGTTTGGCATGTTTACCCTGGTTCCAAAATTTTGCCTCATGCCAACTTTCATTTATGAAATTACCTCATAGATCGACGTCTGATCGTGACTTGGCCATACATGCACACGTTTTTGCCACCAATCTGACCGCATCTGTACGAATGTGTTCTCCTACTGACAACATACTCTAGATGACTTCAATTCATTATATTTCAAATGAACGACATCAATTTTCAGTGTTGGGTTCATAGTTCATACCCAATCACCATTGACGATTTCAGCCGCATACATTTTTCATGTGTCGACCTGCACTGAAATTATTGTTAAGTACTTCCTTTAAGACCCATTCCTGAAGGTTTTCCTTAACACACCTTATCAATGACTTTTTGCTGATCAAGCAGACAATATCATCTCATGCTAATTATGATATCCGCACCTTGTCAATTCCTCTATCTTGTTACTTGACCAAACACATGTTTCTATGCAAGATAGAGTCACAAAACATCGATTTTCTAGGCGTCCCTAGAGCCATCCGACTATGCTCTTATATAAGTAGCTAAACCACCTAGCTAGGCATTTTTCAATCCCATATTAGCTACATGTTCTCTGAATTTTTCCAGAGACAACCCTTTGATCATATGGTCAGCCATCATCTCTTCTGAGGGTATATAGCTGACTTTAATTTCACCTCTCTCTACTATGTCCTGAATATAGTGGTAACTTACATCAATATATTTTCCCTTAGAGCTATTTGCTTCACTTTTTATTAATGAGATGGCGGACTAATTGTCACAAAACATATTGACCGGTCTAGCAGGTATACCTAATTATAAATTGTCAACAAATCGTTTTATCCAGACCGCATTACTCACGGCTATGCTACAAGCTATATATTCAGCTTCCATAGTGTATTTTGCAACACAACTCTGTTTCTTACTTAACTAAGAAATTGTTGTTCCACCAAACAATAACACATGACCCCTAGTAGATTTTCTATCATCTACATCTCCTGCAAAATCTGCGTCAGTGTATCCTTTTATGTCTAAATCACACAAACCAAAACATAATTTCAAATTTTTAGTGCCTTTTAAATATCTGAATATTCTTTTAACTACTTGCCAATGTTCCTTACCTGGATTGGATTGAAACCGACTTACCAATCCGACTGCATGATAGATGTTAGGTCTTGTGCTTGTCATAGCATACATTAAGCTGCCTACTGCCTGAGCATACGAGACATTTCTCATTTCCTCAACGTCAGACTTAGTTTGAGGCCTCATATTTTTACTAAGACTTTGTCCCTTGCAAACAGACGTGCTTAAAGAATTACAGTTATACATATTAAATCTTTTGAGCACCTTGTCTAGATATTTATCTTGATCTAGATATAATAATTTTGAATTTTTATCTCTTGAAATTCTATTTCCTAGAACATAGGTTGCAAGACCCATGTATTTCATTTCAAATCTAGATGTCAAGAAAGTTTTGATTTTTATAATCATATCTGGAAAATTTCCTGCTAATAATATGTCATCCAGGTATAAAGACAATATTGTTAATTTGTCATCATTTTTCAAGATATAAACACAGTGATCTAACGGACTCACAACATAACTCATTTCTAAAATGGCTTGGTGAAATTTCAAGTACCATTGTCTTGAAGATTGTTTAAGTCCATATAGAGATTTCTTCAACTTGTAGACTTTATCCTCATTGCTTTGGTTCTGGAAACCATCAGGTTGCATCATATAAATTTCCTCTTTTAATTGTCCATTGAGAAAAGTTGTTTTAACATCTAATTGATGCAATTCCAAATCCATCCTGGCTATTACCACCATTAGAATCCTTATTGAGGCAAATTTTGCAACAAGAGAATATGTATCTACGATGTCTGTGGCGGCCGAATACATGGGAAAAATCAGATGGTGCGTACTATTGGAAGACTGATATTAATCGGCTATACCCTACGAGAGTGGGGAGCCGAATATAATATATGTGCCGAATAAGTGTAAGTCCCTAATGCCAAATAGATGAAAGGACAATGATTAAAAAGTAAGCCTTGGCCCCGAGGATCAAAAAGAACAGGTATAAATACAGGAACAACGGTTATAGAAAGGTATGTAAAAATCACTTGACAAAACTTAGTAAAGAAGCTACCTTGAGTATCTGAACTAACTTGTCCGTCAGAGTGCTAATTCCGGCACCCCCGACCGGAGTGTTTGATCTTTTCAGATGACTAGC